AGTAGCCTTCGCAAATGTTTGCAGCGTTATGAATAAGCGCGATGAGCTTTATTGTTACGTTGCGTCTGAGAGACCAAAGGTAGTGGGAATCGCAGAGACATGGCTGCATGCAGAGTTATACACCCAAGAACTTGAACTCAACGATTACTCGCGCTTCCGACGCGAAAGACTAAAGAATGCCCACTGTGTTATCTTATTTTACATCCGGTCTTCCCTGCGTGGGAGACTTGTGAGCATCTACCGAAGTAACGATGGTATGTGTGAGCTACTGTGGTGCACCATCCACCTCAGGCGCGCAGAACTGCTTGTGGGCGCAGTTTATCGCAGCCCCCTGAGTCGTTGTTTGGATTGGTTGCCCATTCTTCGAACCCACATGAGTCGTCCACACTTTCTACTTATGACGTTTTAACTGCCCTCGAATACGATGGCCTGATGTGCATTTGATGCCTGGACATAGTGAGGTTGAAGCAAAGTTCGTGGATTTGGTACTTGAAACTGGTTCATAGTAACAGATGTGCCATCCAACAAGCATAACAACACGCTCAACCCCGTCCTGTCCCGACCTGATGTTAACGAGCTACGAACAACGAGTGCGTAACGTTAGGATCCTGGAGCCCCTGGCTACAAGCGGCCATTCAGTGCTCATAGCTGATATGGAATTATTTTTGCCGTATTCACGTCCGCTGGAACCAGCTCCCAACTAATGGAAAACGGACTTCGATGGTCTAGCTCGAGCCGCGAGCCAACTGGATTGGTCTCTGTCACAAGCTGCATCTGTGAAAGACTGTTGGATATTTATAAAAGAGAGATTGACATCATTGTGTTCCCAATTTGTGCCCCTGAAATGGCGGAAGGTGGGACCGATTAAGCCTCACTGGTTTGATGAGGAGCATGGAAACCTGGCTGGGAGTCGGCGCAGACTGTGGGACAAATTCCTCCTCTCTGGCTCTGCCAATGATTACAAAGGGTACAAAGTCAACGGAACCTCAGCAAGGGTGCAAAAAATAATAAACGCAGATACTTCGAAGAGCAGCTCGCAATAGCCGCGAAGACCGCCCCAAAGCGAATCTTTGCATACATGAAGCGACGCCTGAAGCCGGCAGGTGATGTGCCAGTGCTGGATGGCCCGTATGGACAGCCCCTAACCTCCAGCACTGAGCGTGCGTCCGCGTTCGCGGCCCACTTCACCCTTGTATTTGCGAATGACCAGGTGTCTGTTCCGAGTTCGACGTGTACCGCTTTTACCGAACTCGATAGTCTGCATTGCGGCGTTGAAAAGGTATGTCAACTACTCGCCAACCTTGACGGCACCAAACCTGCTGGACCTGATGGGCTTCACCTACTGGTTCTCAAGTCACCTTCGACCATCATCTCTCTTGTCGTAACTGACCTTTTCAACAGGTCGCTGTCCGAATGTTCGTTGCCGGTTGACTGGAAATGTTCGGTGGTGAAGCCTATTCCGAATGGCGGCGACCCTAGCAAATTAGACAACTACAGGTCAATTTGTCTGGCATCTATCTTGACAAAGGTTGCTGATAAAATCGTAAAGATGGGATTGCTGCAGCTGCTACAGTCAAAAGAGGTCCTGAGCCCGCACAGCACGGTTTTATGCAAGGTCGCTCATACATTACGAACCTGCTTGTGACGCGAGGCATGAGTAGTTGAAGGCAATAAGCTAGATGAAGTCTGTCGACGTGATATTCATCGATTTCAGTAAAGCGTTCGACAAGATCAGCCATGAGGTTCTCCATCAAAAACTCAGAATGTGTGGTGTCCGTGGCTTACTGTACCGGTGGATCCGCGACTTTCTTGTTGGACGAAAGTGGAGGGTACAAGTCGACGACCATCTAACTGACTGGTACCCCACTACAAGTGGCGTGCCTAAAGGCACTGTGCTGGGGCCCACTCTGTTCCTGATCAACGTCAAAGATCTACCTCAGCTTCTCCGGTCGCCGTGTGCATTGTTTGCGGACGACATGATTTGGAGAGAAATGGAAGCTCCCGATGGATGTGGCCTACTTCAGCAAGACCTCAACCGCTTATCCATATGGTCTGCAGAAGTTCTTCTCCAGGTCAACCCAACCAAGTCTGTTTTTATGAGCCTGAGGAAAGGTGCTGACGGTCGAACCTATACCCTTGATGGCCAACCGCTATATCTTACACCCTCCGTGAAGGAGCTAGCTGTACTCTTGCGCTACGATTTGAAGTCCGTGGACAACACGTACAGGCCATATCGTAACGGACTGCGCATGCTTTGGGCGCTCAAACGTAGCTTCTGCACATGGTCGGAAGAGGTTGCCACTCGCCTCTTTTCTTCCATCACCAGACCAATGCTAGAGTACGGTTCGCCCGTCTACTTTCCGATTACCCGAGGCGAGGCACAAAAGTGCGAATGGGTCCAACACGTTGCTACCAGGCTCGTCCCGAGTTTACGTGGCTTCGGGTATGAAGACCGGTGCGAGAAACTAGGACACTACACCTTGTCCTATCGTCGGGTGCGAGTCGACCTCATTATGACCTACCGTATTCTACATCTCGGTGACTTCCCAATGCTGAGGCCAATGCTGCACTTACGAGAGCGATGCAGCACACGCGGACACAGATACAAACTTGTCGTGCCGGATGTGAAATGTGTTCCCCACCCACTGTGCATCGAACGAAGAGTGGTAACTATTTGGAACAGTTTACTTGAACATGTGATGGAGGCAACATCTGCGCAACTGTTCAAAACGTTGTTAGATTTATATTTTACCACTATTCGATTCGGAGAACGATTGCACACTTACAATGACATATCACATTTGTGAGTCCTGCAATATCGTGAGTCAGATATTTTAAATGTTACATGGAGAACGACAACGATATTCACGGCTGATAACTTTTATAACGTTTTTCACCATATTTCGAAAGAGTTTTACAGAATTCATTTCTACTTGCTCTATAATACAGTATTCAGTACCTCTTTGTCTACCGAGCGCGCAACACCTAAATTCCATCTGCTTCTGCTACGGTCCCAGTGACCGCGGTAACCAAGGTTCACTTCAATGTGAAGCGCCGTCTACATTGAGATTGCACGTCGCAATCCAATCACACAATATGTCATCCAAATTGCTCCTCACATGAAGTAACTTAAAACACAGTAGTACTGATAACATAGGCTTACCTAAGAGCTTCTGTGTAACCTGAAAGGTGACATTTTTAAAGTGCCGTAGTGATCTTATTCCAGAATGTTAACTTGAGTCTCGTTACCTAATCATGCCGTTACCGATCAACACAAGCAACTTGCTACCGAGTACTGACTGTTGTAGGCCATAGGATGACCATAGTCAGTAGTGAATCCCAGAGATTTATCCATCCAATATATGTTAACATTGCATTTTATTGGTCTATGTAACTTTCAGCCATCCATCTGTTGTACTGATCGTAAGTCGTCTTAACCTGCTTCTGACCGGTTAGTTGCGCACTACGCTGCTTCCCGCTCTGAAACGTTTACACCCAATCCACTGCAGCTCCTTACTAACTATAAGTTAGATCAGGCTGTCTTACCCTTCTCCGTGACTCCGTATATCGCTGGTCAACTATGTGTCTTCGTCGTCGACTAGCATTAGAATCATATCCTACTGGTGTCTAATGTCGTGCGATGTTTCGGGGCCTGATACTCATGGCCAACATGAAACACATTGAGAAGATGAAGTTTAGGAAAATAACGTATTTCGTGTGGTCAAATCAGTGTCGTAAATGACAAATTGAATTTGCTCCAGGCTAATAATTAGTTTAACCGACCAAAAATAGGTGATAGGTAGAAAAGTTTACGAAAGCAGAATTCTTATCCCTATGACCAGGACAGCCTGAGAATGATCGAGGATTGATTTGTACACAAAGTACCGTTTTGTTCCAAATACACAAATGTCGATTCGTGACAAGAACTTTGAATCATAAATGTTTCTTGTCCCAATGGCTTCGTTGGAAATTTTATTAATGATAATTATAATGGAGTTAAGTAAGCCGTCTTCGACGAAATAGCGGTATGTTTATGAATGAAGCCGTCACAAATAACTATGCTTGGCTGATTGGTCCGCCTATTTTGTCTTGTGCTTACCTTCGACCAACTGTATTGGTTTCTGCTCTGAAGCATGCTACTAGAGGGACATAAGTTAACTTTGCACAAATGCGCCATTCCTCATAACTCCTGCAGATACATCGCTTCAAAACATAGGTAACCACAATGACAATGAATGAGCAGTTCATTAGGCGGTCAAATTCGTTTACATTTGCAATTATCCATTACTCGATTCGTTTTCGAACCTGCTGTTACGAAAACTCGGCCCCTGCATAACATATTTTTGCGGCCCACGATAGGCGAGTTCATTTGGTCTTCTTCATAATTATTGTTGCTGTTCCTAAGGTGAGCATGTATTGAGTTACAGCGTCTTCCTACAGTATACTCAGGATTAAGTCATTATAAAGAGCTGTTCAACTTCCTAATCATCCTCAGCGCAAGATGAAGATGTTGTGCATCTACTCTGGCATGGTTACTTATTTTGTTTTTACTAAATAGGTCTTGTCTAGTGAGTTCATTCGTCTACTGCATTATAACTTATCAAACACGCGAAACGCTTCCAAGGTAGAGAATTTAGATCAAAAGACAGTTTCTCACAGTTACCTCTGCTTGTGCTTTATCGAGAAGCAAACCAACTTTTCTTGTGTCATACAAAGCACATGTACACCAAGAGATTCAAGTGACTTAGAATCTGTCTCGACATACCGGTTTTCTAAACAATTTCAAATGTCTAATGCTTTGAAGTTTTATATAATCGAGAGCCAACATCGATATTTTAATGGGGGGTTCACGAGTTATGAACTCACAGATGTACTTACTATGTGGCCAAGCTAAAGTCAACAGATCTGACTTATACTTTGACACGATTTCTGCATGTCGCAATGTTATAAAATTCATCGATACATATCTGTACTTCGTCATCAAATTTTTACTCCCTACCATTATTCCCGGACACTGTGTGTGTGTGTGCAAGAAACAACATAACAAATCAATATGGGAATCTCGGTACACATTGAGATTGACAGGCACAGTCCATTCGCACAGCCTGTACTTCAAAATCATCCACCAGCCATAAATCTATTGGTTTATTAGTGATAGGCTAAAGATGACGTACATCTCCAGAGAAAATAGGGTTTCTTGAGAGCTAAGCAGCGCAAATATATCATTTGCATTGCAGACCCATCACATGAGATGGTTTGCAAATGTGTCGTGAAAAATCGTCGAATTCAAGAAAATAGTTCTGAGCTTTTGAAGGATATCCTGTGGTTTTATGCGGTAAGTTACATAGCATCGGTTCATTAAGGGAGATGCTCAATCACCGCTGAAAAGTGGGTGCCTCTCCTGGCATTGGGCCATTCAGGTATTGATCGATTGGCTTTGTGAAGGAAGCATTGCGACCAAACGGCGTTCGTGCTCCATAACCTATTTGAGTCATTCCCTGTTCGAGAATAGAATTAGACCATATTTGTTAAGAATAAAACATATGGTTGAAACAGTAACGAAAAACAGAGATACAATCTTAAGATAAGCTTCCGATAACCTCTTGTATGTAGGAGGGTCTTTTGTAAGCTTCGTTTAACGGTTGCTACAAATGAATATAAAGCTTTAATGACAGTGGCATCCTGTCAATTGTACTATCATTGCAGGAACCGTTGGAAAAGCACAATTGGCGTGATGATATTTAGAAGACAAAATGTCATTAACAACAAAGCGTATTACCTATGTTAAATGGCGGCTGCATGCGTGTACTGATTGATCATCCTTATCACACAAGATAAATTAATCCGCTTACCAATCTATATACGGGTCACTAATTGGGTTGCCTTATCTCAAAAGTATCAATGCGCAGTGAAAACAGTATTTAATCCTGTATCAGCCACCACATACCGTACACTAAAACATTGGTCAGCTTTCTACTGCACCATTCCAATAAGCTGCCAAATTGGGTTGCGGGCACCAATAACGACAGCCTACTTTTATCTGTAGGTACGCAGTCCACCACACGAATTCATAATCGTAAGCGCCACTAGTGACAATTCGCAATTAAGTGAACAAGGCGCCAGACGGCATAACCGAACCCCCGGGGAAAATTGTATCCCGAGTTAGTTCGAATTAAATATTACAAAGGGTTGCAGAATGACAAGCTGAGAATGGTCAAAATAAAGACGCCTCCAATTGTATAGACGGGCGCAGGCAGCCAATTATCAACAAAGCAAAATACTACCAGCGGTTTATCGGTGTATAAAGTGTTCAAATCGAATTTAATTCACAGCGGCAATGGAAAAACTGCGACATCTCCCGCAACAGGCTATAACAGCTCAACAAAGCCAATAATACAAACGTTGCAACAGTAACAGATTGTACACTACTTGAGATGAAGAGCACACCGCAGGTCTCCAGATACCATCCAGAAGTAAAAAGGAAACAGACTATGCAAATAACAAGCAAAACAAAGAGCGACACAGACAGTTTAGTCCACCAACCGTGTGGATTTATATCTATCACTTCGTTACCTGGTGGAAGCCCTCGTCACGGTTGCCAAATAGTTGACACTCGCTAGGCAGGTATCTGCAGCCTACTTGCTATACAACGTGATGAAATAGTCTACAAAGAGACCATTCGTGCATTTCGGTTTATAAAATTGTGTAACCAGGAGAAGCAGGTGGCACGAACATGCTTGCCAAGACAAGATAACGATCAAAAGACCCCGAAGGTCCTCTCTAAATATATGAGAATACGTCACATGCACATATTTGCACGTGTATTACGCACAAATATATAGAGTATGCACAAAAGGAGTAAATTGCAACGGATTTGTCTACACCGAACTCAGTCGCCAGCTGTACATCGTCGAATAGCTGCAAGGTCCCATTCGTAATTGTCAGTTTATTCAACGTTCACTAGATAAACCATTGATTATTTCATGATGCTACATGCGTGGCAGAATCGCGAGGAAGTGTATAATAACATTTAGCAATAGAATACTTAGTTTTGATGAACATCACTCATGGTGATACAGATACCTGAGGGTTTATACAGATACGAACCATGCGCAGTTCATTCTAATTTCATAAGGGAACCAGTTAAGATGTTAGTTTCTGAGAAAAGTAATTCGAAGGAGTACACGATACCAATTAGCCGTGGTCATTCACAAGCAGTTGGTTGCTTTCGTGCAAAGTGCGAACCTCTGCAATGAGTGGAGGATAATGATTTCGTCAATCACTCCAGTCACATTTGAATAATATATCCATACACATAAGGGCTAGACCGAAGGAGCTTACCGCAAGTGGCATCAGGTTGGTATATAAGTGGCCAACCTGACCCCGTATTCAAAGACCGTTCGGTAGATGATTCCAAATTAGCCGAAGTTCCGCCCGTCATGCTTATGAGTAGAAACGACCGAGCTGTTCTCTTGTAAAAAACTGCCTCCATTTTTAAAAAGTAACTAGGCAACAATTTACACGTGAGTGTTAGGTGATTGACATCGCGGACGATATTGCACGCCTTACAGTGAGATGGTCGATATGGATGTAAGAAATTGCGAATTCAGTTTGTTCCAGCTAAGAACAAGACTGCACGGAACCGGCTGGCTGGCTGACTTAACTGTCTGGGTGGGTGAAGTGGGCCGGAGAGGTCGTCTGTCTTAAATGTCACCTGCATGGTCCGTGTCCGCCACAATAACAAATAAACAGGGATCTTCGGCAGGGAGTTAGAAGATTATCATTACACTCCTGGTCTCTTATCGAAATCCGAAAGTATGAGCAATAATCGTTAGTTCGGAGGCATGTTAATACTGCGTAATTAACTCGTGCTTTTTCAGATTCCCCTGCATGTTTAATATGCGCTTTTTTGCCTACTCATGATAAATTAAGTAGGCGCTCAATCGAACTGTTGTGTGATGAAAAGCTGGAAATGCAGGAATGGATTTTTCCTCTTGTGTGAAGTTGTGGGCTGCGTAGCAGTACCAAGTTGAATGCCGCATTTTTGTTACGCTTAAAGATTCACTAAGAGGAAAACGTGAATCTTATCATTTTGGCTCTCAGTGAAGGACACGCGACGCATTTTCACTTAGTTTTTCCGTTTTTCTTCTTATCACTATCGGTGTTCAATCTCCCCTCTTACGCCTCCTGCATGTATGCAATATTTTTATATATGGTCATTAATAATGGTCTCATACAAGCTCACATTTTGTATACCTTGAAGGTACATTTTCAGATAATGTAGTTTGGCTCTTTACCCCATTTTACCGACATTTTGTAATAGTTCCACACAGGGTGATGACTGTGCCTTTAATGCCGCAGTGAACGCATCCGTTGATTTATTGTACCTCTGTCCAGATAAACAATATTCCGTTATTTTATAGTGGATTAAGCACAAACGTAAAAGTTATTTGATTATAAAACTAAGTGTAAATTCCATTGTAAAAACGGCGTTGAACGCATAACTTCTTCGCAATAGGACCATACATAATACATAAGATATCGTAAAATTTCGTTTTCAAATTTTAAAATCATACACACTAATCAAAAAGTTTCCTTTACACATTCTCAATAATGCACGACCACTCCAAGCTTAACTAGGAAGCATTTTCATGTGGCGCGTGTTCTTTTATGTGCAGGCTAGGAGGTTTAATTGATAAGAATGTAGGTAGCCTAAATAAATTTGAGTATTTTTCAAAAGCCAAACCACGAATGCAAACTAATAAGGCAGGATAATGTGCCTACTGCATCTCCATCCACAAACAGAGGTGTGTAGTAGAACTAACAGTTACATTAGATGGCAACAAGCAGCGTAGAGTGGTGCAATCATAAGGCGGTAAATATATTCTTTTGCTGAGAAATCTAAGGATTAATTCCCAAATCCCAGAGCTCAAAACAAAATACGGCAGTGTGGAAAAGCCAATTATCATTTACACACATAAGGACGATGTGTTTTGCAGTAATGCACCCATTGTGATCCAATGAAGAAGGAAAATTGGACAGCCATGATATTTTGCAACACAATTGAGTAAACTTCGGTCACAGGCAGTGATGGCTATTTATAGGAGTCTCTTAACTACCGAATTCAATGCCTGAATGCTTGTACATATTGTGTGCAATACCGAATTTATTACTGAGTAACATCTTTTTATGGTACAACAAAGCGAAAGCCACAAGGATGCCGTCTCACTAAAATCTTCTATCTCTATACGATTGCAGGTATATTCGGTTTGAGTTTGAATCTCTTTTGAACGCCTTTAACATTTTACAAGTAGTCTCTCCTTCATACTTTTCCTTACATTTGAATAACGGAGGTGTCACTAAATATGTTCCTTTAACACATTAAATTAGCATAATAAAATGCTGTTCTACTGTTGATATACTAATAATGATCCATATGCGGAAAAATTACGTTCCTGTAAACGGATATGCTATGCCTCCTATAACGCGCAATGATGTAAAAGCGAACTGGTGTTATCGCAGGGCATTTCACGGATCTGATAATGTTTGCACAAAAGCAGTCTAAAGTTTTGGAAGACCGAAGCATTAGAATAAAATCAGCGTTTTAAATCAATGCAGCATAGAGTTTCCGAAGCGGCTTTGAAAAGACTACCGTTAGGTTTACTCAGGTGTGCTGCGTATAGTGAACGTTATGCTGGTACTCGAAATCATATTAACGTATGTGAATAGAATTATCACTTTCACCTCCAACAGAAGATGAGGAATATCGGACTTTTCACGCGCATATACCATACAATTCGGTTAGATTAGCACTGCGAACAAGAGTCGGTAAGTATACATTACCTACCCTATCAAGTTAGATCTTAAGCCATACTTTGAAGGCAAAGCTAGGAATTGGATATGCTTTGGTGTTGCTCCTCCTAACACTGCCATACACAAAACACTGACAATAGTGGGAGAAGCAACATCGAACCACCTCCAATTCGGGTGCGGTCCTTGTGATCGTAATGATCGAGGTCTACTTCAAAGAGGACCGAGGTCTGAATAGACAGTGCGTATCGCAATCCAATCACACAGCGGTTACTCCAAATGCAACTTTGTAAAGCCAGGAACTTCCCGTAAATTGCAGGTTACAGGAGGACAAAACAGGTTTACACTAGTTATGCACCGATTGGATGAGATGTGACGGAAGATACTACTGAGCGACCAGTTCTCCAACGCATCAGTTAAAATGGTGCAACATATGACTACATATAGTAGCATGGAACCTTAAGTTTTTTGCTCGATGAAGTAATATGATAATTGAACAATTTGGTAACTAATGAAGCAGTTGATTATAGTCCCCGCACATAAGAGTACGTCCAAATTCAGCTTACCGGAATATTTCTGCAATGTTCTGACCAGAAAGTTACGGGTTGCTCGTGTACAAGTTCGCACATCTGGAAATCGGCGTTTAAAAGATACAATTATCACATCATAATCATCATTACACATTATCTGATGGTGAGAATCACGCTTCAACTATTGTGCCGCAATGCAAAAAAATATTTGAAAAAAAACGAAAAAGAAACATTTTAGAATGCAAAAATACACAGCTAATATACTTCTTAGTAATATATTATGCTTCAAGACTGGGATCGTGGTTGGATTGGGAAAATAAGAGGGATGGGATGGGTCAGGGAAATTCACAACATAAAAGTCATTGAGGTGTGGTCCACGCTAGGTTAACTAGTGCATCTAACCAAACACGTTCCTCGTCGTTCGGGTCCCAGCCCAGCAGACACCAACGCTAAGTTCGAAGTGAGGGCAAAAAAAGACCATTGCGACGAGACTGGACGTTAACGTTGGATGGTACCAGTGCCTTAGCGATCCTTTAGACTATATTGAGATATACTTTTTACCTTCTCAGAACCACTAGTACCAATGGTTGGGGGCCAGACAAACTCAATCTCCCGGCCTTTCAGGTAGGGGTTGAAGTGAGGGTGGCTTCTTACTCCAGAAGACGGACTGACCCTAGTCCAAGTGCTAAAAAGCCGCTACCTTGGGACCAGGTCTTTGAACCAAAAGTTTTGGTTTAGAACCCTAATCGTTCTCCCGTCCAGGCCAGAGCAACCTGACAGTATGCTGCCCACGCAATACAATGAATCTGTCCTCAAACATTTCCTTGATGCTCTGGCCGTCGAAGAGGATAATCAAAGGCGGCCTTTCGGCTACATCGAGTAGGGTGGAGAAGGGTAGGGATGCAACTACTAGAGCCTTCCTGCCCTCTCATTTCCCCTCTTGCACGTTTTAATCATTATCATCCCCTTCTAACTTCACATTCACCCGCGCTGCTTTCAACCCCTTAAAATTATCACACGAAACGATTCTGTATAATGTAGAAATCATTATTAGGATGAAATTCACATCACACGATGAGCTCCCAAACCCTGTACAGAAGTGCACAAAATCGGCAATGTGCTCAAATCGCATTTATTTAAACACAATGGTTGTGTGCTCTGTCACACATAGATACGTGGCCTTGATGACTAGCGTGTTTGAGAATAAATTACATCTCACAACATCTTTTCTCCTACCTACTAAAAGTAAAGCAATAAAAATGGTGCTGGTAAGAATCAAAATGGAAGTTATGGATTATTCCTAAGTCAGGACCTGGTAAAACCGTTGCTACAATCGATTTCCTTTGCTAATTCGACAACTTTTCTGATCTAACACTATCACTGCTGTCAAGCGGCACGGCTGTTCTACCAATCCCCCTACCAACGGCTTTCCCCCTCCACGGAATGAAATAAGGTGTTAATTTATAAACTTGGCTTTATATGCGAAGTATTTTTGCTACAGTGTAACTATAAAGCTTTGACAAACGATTGTGGCGGGAATTGATAAAAGTATCACAAGGAAACGGTTGGTGGGACTAATGCAAATGTACGCAATTTAGCCTTCTGTAATCGACAGCGCGCGATATTTAGTGTGAATATTGTACATTAGGTAAGATCACGGAATTTGAGCATGATTTTGAGGTAGTTACTGTTAGCCTTTGTAGCATCGCCAAGTGCTTTAACTGTGACACTTAATCGCAAGTTGGACTAAGATTTATATTAAATTAAAACTCCTCATTCCGGCTACTTAGACCGCATCCGAAGAGCAGAGGCCATCTGTGACTGCAATAGCTACGGTCCACCTTGGCTTAGGTTGTGTCCCAACATAGTATTGCGTATTGAGATCCAATTATCCGGCTGGAATTCCAAAACCTACTATAAAACCATTAAAATGACTACGTTAAGCTTAACGCAAAATTACTGTTGCCTAGTAATAAGAAGTTCAACGCTACATCATTAATTACACTACCAGTTTCGAGCTCCCATCTTCACCCAAATGGTTGGAGTGATAGCAAAATGGGCTTGTGGAGTGCCATATTCGGGGTGATTAGCATAAAGAATCCATCCATGTTACCAATTAGCGTTGGTTCTCAATCGTCATTGTTCATAACATCACGCAGCAGTGCTGGGGGGTTGCTATATTGATACGCAACGTTGACGTCATTCTACCTATTGAATTTCGAATTCAAGCAACGATCCTAGAGCATAGCAAGATATTAGGCCAACATGTAATTTCGACAAATTGGCGCAAATTTCAGATGCACGGTCGTATGTTCCGAGTAGGTAGCAATGCATCCGTAGGTATCTAGGTGTCATGATTTTGGTCATCATCATGACGATCCCAACCCACTGGAACTGGTTATAGTCATTTAGCAATGCAGACTACCAGGCTGATCATCATACTGCTTTTAGGCTCGGTAAGATATGAAATGCTTGCATACTAATTTGCCAAAAATCCCATTATCAGGTAGTGTCATCGAGGAGAGTGGAGAGTTTTATAGAGTATGTTTATAATAACGCGGGCAAATATTTGCCAAACCGACGGGCTGGGTACCCCAGGAGCCGCGAAGTTGGCTTCCGTTCATCCTGTTGATATATTCTGATAAATATCGTATGCCAATTGCAAAGATTATAAAGTAAAGTTAAAGGGTTCAAAGTGTTTCCTAACACGAAGAATGGGCTTGCAAAGAGTTAGGTAATTCCAAAATAATTCATTTAAGGACCAATTTTTACATTTACCCGTGGTTCTGGCTTGGGTTTTTCTGGTAAAACGTGACCATGAAAATCGGATTTCGTTAAAGATCGGTAGTCAATTTCAAATGATTTCGGCTCAAATTCCTTTTCAACATCGGACCTAAGGCATTGTCTCGTAAAAGTCAGCAAATGTTAATACCTGATCTTATGATACAAAGCAATGTCATCTTCCCTCAGAACTCGTTAAAAGGAACTAAATCCAAACGGTTTTAGAGTTACCTTTTACTCCGTACGATGGAAGATTCTTCAAGCTGTATTTCTCTTCCAAGCTACGGTCGATTTTCAGCTTACTCATTTCCTCTCTGTGTGCTGCTAAATCGAATTCCGCTTGCTTTCTGGCTTGCTCTTTTGCTTTATACTACAAAATGTAAGGAATTCTACCTACCTCCTTTGTCCAATCAACCCGCTCACCATTGAGAAAATTGCTGGATTCGGGCATGACGATTAGTAAGGCACAACGTTCTGCTGAGCTTACTAAAAGGAGAGATCCGGTTCCAGGGAAAAGATGCAGAATGCGCATGCACACAGCGGGTCAGCAAGCAATCATGGAAAAACAGCGCGTTATTTTTGAGGCATGAATTGTGGAAACATACTGTGCATGTGACTGATGTGGCATTTGTGTCCAAAAGTGAGAGAACCACACAAAAATGAAATGAAAAGGAATGCGTAGCACGCCACGCGGCAGTTGCTCATACACATTTCGTGCTTTAGGTGGTTGCATGCCAATTACTCTTGCCTATGTTGCTGACTGTTATGACTGAGGCCTACTCTTGCCCGGTGAGAGCCATACAACCTTTTGCTTTACTCTGAATTACTTGCTCTAGCTATCTTCGTAGCTTTACGCAAAAGGTACGCTGGGAATATTTGTGTCACTCACATACGTTCGCTTGCATTTGGCACACCACTTGATTGTCATTCATGGCTGTGAGTAGTTCAGTTACAAGCTACAAAACTCGATAGCAGTACAAGTTTTAGCCAACTTTACCTCAAGACAAAACGTGATTTTTGCACCCAGAAAAGATGAATGTTCAGCTATAACACATGTTTCCGTCAATGTAACGAAAGGAACATGATATAAAATGAAAAATACCAGTTAGTAAAAGACAAACACAAGACCGTTAGGGCGCAAAATGGTGGTAATTCTCTAAAGTGATTGTTGCTGTGTTTCAAAACTAGCATCAGATGAAGTATAACTGACGAACGGCAGACTGGTGAACAGGGTAAATATGGACTCCTGTCGATTTGACGAAGTCAATACATATACAGCAACGTGTTGTGAAGGTGGCTTGTGCCGGTAAGTTTCGTCGATGCTAATCTGCTGCAACAACTTATATGATTGGACAAAATCATATCAACAGAAGTCAATTTCGGAACACATCTACATCGGAACATATGCGTTCACGACCTGACGGGTCTTCTGAAGTGATTTTCATGTAGATCAAGAAAAAGCACTGGAGAATAGTACGCCCGGACAGGAAGAACAGAAGCAGTGACAACACGAAGTAACAATTCATGACAGGTGTGGTGGTAGCTGTCGAGTAAGCAGCAATGGCCCCGGGCTGACCTTTTACTTGCTCGAGTCGACAGCCCCAAATCGATGACAGCAAGTGGATAATTGATCTGGGCTGGTGAGAAGAGAACTCAATTAATTGCCACAAGAGGATCGACCGAACCAAATGAGCCAATTTGTGTGTGGCTCTAACTGATAGAAAGTAAAAATGAGCTCGTGTTTTTCTAAAGTACAGAATATTGATGAAGGCCCAGACTTAGTTTTCGGTTCATCATCATCATCATCATCATCATACACGTTAGCTAGAGGCGGGGAACACCTCAGCTACTGTGCCGCAACACATAGAAAAAAGGAGAGAAATAAAGCAACTGGTGTAAGCCGGCTGAGCTACCAGTAACGGATGGGCATCGTTCCGGTAAGCTATCAGCCGGCTGCTGTGCACCAAAAAATTACTATGCAAATTATAAAAGGCTAAATAATGAGATCGTGGTTGGAGGGGAAGGCTAAGAGGGATGGGGTGGGACAAAGAAACTTACAGCATGAACGCCACCGAGGTCGGCTCCTAGCCATAGCAGCAAGTGTGTCCAACCAAACGTGTTCATCGTCTTTCGGACCCCAACCAGGGAGCCGAGACGCTCCAACCGAGGCCAGCTCAGAAGTGAGGGCCTTCATTCCTCTGGACCAAGTCATCGCTTGGCCACCCCTCCTCTTCTTCCATCCACACCCCCGGCGCGCAAACAACGCACGTCGCGGAAGTCGGTGGGCAGGCATGCGTAATACGTGGCCGAGCCATCGGAGCCTGGTGCGTGAAATAACGGTGCTGAGCGGCTCAGTTCCTTTTCCTGTGCCGTAAACGAGGCGTCGAACACGCTCGTTGCTCACGCGGTGTTCCCATCAGATGTGAGCTAAATTACGAAGGCACCGGTGGTCGAACGTAACTAGCCTCTTCAGGTCCGCTGCTTTAAGCGGCCAGGTTTCACAACCGTATAGTAGGGTCGAAGGTACCGCTGCATTGTACACTCTACCCTTCAGGGCAAGAGTGATGTCGCGCCAGCGCCATAAGTGGCGAAGGTTAGCAAAAACGCACCGAGCTTTTCCTATACGATTCGTGATCTCATCTTCAATCCCACGGGCGCTGATACAACTTCCCAGGTAGTGGAATTTTTGAACGACCTCTAGCTGATCCCCACCAAGAGTCAGCGTAGGAGGCGGTCCAGACCAATCTTGGAGGAACGCTTCGTACTTCGAGGGTGCGAAGCAAAGCCCGAAGTTACGGACAGCTAGTGCTAATCTGTCCAGTGCCGCTTGGCGCGTTTGTGAGCTATCACAGATTAGGGCAATATCATCAGCCAGTAAGACAACAGGCAGATGCATTTCGCAAACGAGAAGGTTAGAACTACAACCTGACTTCCTGAATGAGATATACCTGCATGATGTGACCAGAGCAAATCGTAGGTAATTCTGACATCTAGATACTTCTGTGATGTGGAGAAGCACAGCTCCCTGCGATCAAGGTGGAGTTTAGTGCACCGCTAGATTACCTGCTGATTATGGCCTCTATGAAGTGAAAACGCGATATTATTGAGCTTTAATGCAATTAGCGACAACTCAATACCTTCCAACCAGAAGGTGAAATCGTTCAGAATAACTTTTAGGTTGAAGGAAGAGGTCGTTATCAAATGAATGGTACCCAAGCGCAGCTAGTTGCATACTTCAGCAGGCTCGCCGTATCAGGAACCGACGTTGAATCGACGTACGGGGATGGTAGAAACGACAACAGAATACCTGATAAATACTGATGTCTGTGGTTAGGGTTAAGGAATATCTGAGTCCGAGCCAGCGGTTGACCGATAGGACAAGGCGTCTGCCTTGCAACCCGGAGGTCGCGAGTTCAAGGTTGCATAGAAGACCGGGCGGCCTTCACAGTACTCCTCGCCCGCGCGCCACTACTACGGTAAACGAAAAGCCGTTACGATTGAGCGTCTCAAGGTTGCCTACATGGAAACTGAACTCCAGGAAAACCTTTGCCCGTCTTCTGACGAATCAACCTGTTAGATCTTCACTTTTTCTCGCTATTCTGAATTAAACACCCAAAGATTTCTCCGCAAAAATTCTAGCCCAGAAAAGAAAAGTCAAAATTCCAACGACCTTACGTGTTAACAAAAACTCTGCCAACGTAGCCAAAAATGCCGCCAAAACACTGTACAACAACGCCAAACTTACGCCAAATATATAGGGGGTTCAATGACCTTCGGCTACTAGAAAACGAAGGTCAACTGGTAAAGTTAGTAGCCTCTCTTCCAATACTCCGTATGCTGGCGATCACGTGAAGGAATGGAAGGTTCCGGAATCTTTGAAATCAATGCACGATCGAAGATAATCTACTAATTGCTAAAACAATGGTTTTCCTTTACGTTTTTATCTTTTCCCGTTTACCTCCCCTCCCGAAACAGCTACCGCGGTGTATGATGCTAGTCTGCGATTGACCTGAAGCCTCCTGGAAGGGGTTCTACGCCTATCGGTCCATCGCATTGACTGTAGTGTTATAGATTCAATTTGCGTGCTCTGCGATCTGGTATCATTCGTCTGATGACAGGATTCTTCCACGGGCTGTTTAGTCAAGTTGAAGCTGTCCGGCAACAGGTCAAATGGAAGTTCGGAGGATTCCGTTGCTTGTGGCTGACACAGTGTTGGTCGCAGTTGATTTGCATGGCGTACTCAACCAACACGTTGTAAACGACGTTCCCGTGCTTGCCCTGAATCGTGCCTGGTGTCCGTTTTGCGTGTCCATCCCGGTAATCACGCACAAGTACTGACTGACCTGAGTTAAACGAACGTCGCTTAGCACCCTACCACCGATCAAAGTCACGTTCCATCTTAAGGTTCCTTTCACCAGCTGTGGACTCTGAGGACGGTCGAACTGCATCAAATGGCATGCGAAGTTTTCTCTTCATCACTGCCTCTGCTGGTGATATTCCACCCGGCGTTTGTGTGAGCGTTTTGCACATGTCCATCTAGACATGGACCGTTAGCCCAGTCTAAGGGTATGGTCTGCATCCTGACCATGATAAATCGTTGCACACGTTGGCCCGGCCATTCCGATTACAGACGTCACAGCCGAAACAACCACGCTAGCTTCCGTCGACCGTTGGGTCGCTGCTCACGGTTGCCCTGTAACCGTGACTACCGATAGTGGTCCAAAGTTTGAACCTAGCACGTTCTTAGAGACGCTCGGAGTGCTAGGCACTCATCGTATTCGCATTACCGCCTACCATCCTGCATCAAATGGTATGGTTGAGCGTTTCCATAGGCAGCTCAAGACGTCCCTGAGCGCAGTTGATGCACTCAACTGGACTGAAGTTTTACCAGTGGTACTGTTTTGCATCCGCTCAGCAATCAAAACCGACCTTCGAACGTATAGTGCAGAATTAATCTACCGACAAACCTTAAGACTTCCTGGAGGTTTCGTCTCCTCCGTCCCGAAATCCTATCGCTACGATGCTTCTTATGCCCAACAACTTGCGGCTAAACTACGCTTATCCCTACTGTACGAACCCAAGGAATCCATGCGTAAATATTTCGTTCCCAAAGACTTACACCGCTTCTCGCACATTTTTGTCAGTGTCAACGACATTCGCAGACCTTTAGAACGCCCATACAAAAGACCATTTAAGGTCATACAACGCAACGATGGAGTCCTTATTATTAAACGCCACGGTAAACGCAAAGTCGTTACCATTGACCGACTCAAAGTCGCTCATTTCGAATCCACTGACAATCACGAAGACGATCATATAACAGCAGTTCCGCCGCTTCCAGCCGAACCGGACGGCACACCAGCTGCCGCTCCACAGACCTCGCGAAACGACACAGCTAACTCGATTACGTTTACAGTGGAACCGCAAAAGTCGACTAGGTGCGGTAGACAAATTCATTGCCCGGCGCGTCTAAAAGATTGACGTCC